CCCACCACGGAAACTCAGACAGTCACCCCCACCACGGAAACCCACAGTCACCCCCACCACGGAAACCCAGTCAGTCACCTCCACCACGGAAACCCACAGTCACCCCCACCACGGAAACCCACAGTCACCCCCACCACGGAAACCCAGTCACTCCCACCACGGAAACCCAGACAGTCACCCCCACCACAGAAACCCAGACAGTCACTCCCACCACGGAAACCCAGTCACCTCCACCACGGAAACCCACAGTCACCCCCATCACGGAAACTCAGACAGTCACCCAGTCACCCCACCACAGAAACCCAGATGGTCACCCTGCCACAGAAACCCAGACAGTCACCCCACCACAGACGCCCAGACTGTCACCCCACCACGGAAGCCGAGGCTGTCACTACCACCTCACCCCCACCACAGAAACCCAGCCAGTCACCCTCACCAGGGAAATCCAGCCAGCCACCCCGACAGAAGCCCCTCCAGCTGCCGGTGGGCAGCGCGCCCCGGGTTGCTTCTCTTTGAAGGAGCCCTGCACTTCTTGCTCACTCCTGTTCCACCCACGTGAGGAACAGGAGCACTGGCAACGCTTTCATCTCAGATGCCCCAGCGCACAGGGAGAGGTGGGTGGCCGGGAACCCACAGAGGCTCATTTCTCAGGAATGTACTGTGGACTGGGTGGGGTTTTCCCATTTTTCCTTATTCTGTCTGACGAGAAATGCTCTGTTTATCAGTAACTGAGTTTCAGGGCTGTTTTTTTCCAAAAAGATACCAATCACACAGAGTGAAAAGTGTGTGATCGTGTCAGGAAACACGGCTGGTGGACCCGAGACTCTGAGCGACGTGCCCGTCACCGTGTGGCGAGGCTGCCAGGGGTGCATGCTCACCAAAACCCACTGTCCCATCTGCCCAGGACAGGCATGCCCCATGTGCACAACATCCTGACATCACCCTTGCCACCCGGGAGCGCTGACACAGGCGTCCACACCTTTGATGCATTTAAAGAGGTTGAACCGTTTTGGCGCAGACATGGATACTTTCTCTGGGTTGGACTGGACAGGCTATGTTTTCATGGCTAGTCATTTCAGTAAGGATAACATCCTGTGGGCACCCGAGCAAACAGAACAATTCCTACACAGTGCATGGAAAATGAGAGCATCAGTAACACCCTATGCTGAAGGAAAATACTTAAGGACAGAAAATGTGGCCAAGGACTGTATTTCCAGCCAAACTGACTTTGAGGTGGAAGGCAGCACACTGTCATCCACAGGCACAAATTCAGGGAAGACTGTTCCCGAGAAAGGGCTCTTCCTTCAGAAAGTGCTGGGGAATGAGCTTCAAAAACAACAGGGAGAACGCGGACCTGGAGACGGCAGGAACGGGGGAGAGTGGACGGGGCTGCAGGAGGCAGCGCAGGCAGAGGCTGGGCACTCCGACACACAGACACGTGGGGGCGGGGAGGAGGCACGTGCATGGGAACCTTATAATCGTGGTCAAGCCTAGGGCACGGCTGGTCCATGATGGACTAAAGCAGGTGGATGCCCACTGGGTATCCTGTCACGCCTGGTGTCCTTAAAGGCCAGGATTTGCCATAGGGGAAAGGGAACCACACATGTGAACAGACAGAGGGGTTAATGAAACCCCATGGCACGGAATTTGAGTATCAGTGCGACCTACGGAGCAGATGTGTTCATCACCTCAGTCTACGGGAGAGGCCAGGAAACGACAGACGGCAGCAACGAGCATCCGTGGTGCCCACGCGGTGTTCTCAAAACACCGCTTCCCATCAAAAGAAAAAAGGGAGCCGGGCGCGGTGGCTCACGCCTAGAAACTCAGGACGACTTTGGGAGGCCGAGGCGGGTGGATCACCTGAGGTCAGGAGTTCGAGACCAGCCTGACCAATATGACGAAACCGCGTCTCTACTAAAAATACAAAAATTAGCCAGGCATGGTGGCAGGCGCCTGTAATCCCAGCTACTCTGGAGGCTGAGGCAGGAGAATCGCTTGAGCCCGGGAGGCAGGGGTTGCAGTGAGCCGAGATCACGCCACTGCACTCCAGCCTGAACAACAGTGACACTCTGTCTCAAAAAAAAAAAAAAGAAAGGAAAGGAAAGGAAAGGAAACGAAAGGAAAAAGGAAAAGGGAAAGGGAAAAGGAAAAGAAGGGAAAGAAAGAAAAGAGAAAAATGGGGCTCCCAGGAAAAACAGCTTATTTCAAGATGAGCCACGAATATCTTACCATATCGGACAGCCACAAAACTATCAACTACAACAGGGCTGAGTGTAAGGGACTTGGGAGTTGCTCCCATCAGCAAAAGAGGCGGCAAGCCGAGGCTCAATAAGGTGACGGCAGCAATGGATTAAAACAGCACGTGCAGTGAAGCCCACGAGCTCTCAACAATGAAAGAACAGGAACTGGTCACCGCCAGAGGAAGATATGGAAGCCAACTCCTTACTTTGAAAACTGGTCAATTAAGGAAAAGGTCCTACCTTTCTTATACAAACCGTACCACCGAGTAACCAGACGACAGTCTGCCTGTATAAAAGTATTCCAGCAAATGGGCCAGGCGTGGTGGCTTACACCTATAACCCCAGTACTTTGGGAGGCCGAGGGGAGTGATCACCTGAGGTCAGGAGTTCAAGACCACCCTGGCCAACATGGCGAAACCCCATCTCTACTAAAAATACAAACATTAGCTGGGTGTGATAGCATGCCCCTATAATCCCAACTACTTTGGAGGCTGAGGCAGGGAGAATTGCTTGAACCTGGGAGATGGAGGTTGCAGTGAACCGAGATCATGCCACTGCACTCCAGCCTGGGCAACAGAGTGAGATTCCATCTCAAAAAACAAACAAAAAAGGCATTCCAGCAAATAAAGCAGAAATGATAGAATGGGAGTCGCGTCACCATGCAACCTCGTTTTGCAGTGAAGGATCTAAGCCTAGAGCGGCCAGGGCTGCTCACACACAGAGAGGTACAGCCCTTACATGTCTCCCAGTGAGGAATACACCACCTACAAAGTAGCCTTCTCCAGAAATTTAGAACTGGATTAAGCCTCTAGATTCAACTACCAATTTGCAAAAAACACACAGGACAGAGGGAAATGTTACAGACACTCCAAAACTCAGAGCAGGCGAAATCCCATTGTGGGAACCGTGAGACTCATGATGTTTCTCCCGCAAACGAGCAGCAAGGAGGAAAAGCCAGGGGAGGGACGTAAGGACTAAAAACAAGAAGACACAAATAAGAAACAGCTAAGGCTAAGTGTCGTGTTTAGGGACATGTGTTTGAGCAATTAAACCCACTCAGAAAGATGAGGTGGCCGCTGTCAGAGTTAGGGCAGTAGTTGCCCCCAAAGCAGGGCAGGGAGGCTGGTGGCCAGGGCGTGGGACCCGGAGGACCCAGGTGCCTTCACTCCCTTGCCATTGTTGTCTCCTTCCACTAGGGGGTGACCGCAGGGTCTGCACTGAACACAAATTCACTGAGCTGGGCATTTTTGTTTGTTTGGTAGAGACAGCAAGGGGTCTCACTCCATTGCCCAGGCTGGTCTTGAACTCCCGGCCTCGAGTGATCCTCCCACCCTGGCCTCCTAAAGTGCTGGGATTACAGGTGTGAGCCACCACGCTCAACCAAGTTGGACATTTTTTAATAGTGTTTTCTATTGTGTTATTATAACAATTTAAATTTAAAATTAAAAAGAAAACACCATTGCTTTGGAAATAACATACACTAACGCATTAAAATCTTTTTTCACCATATGTAAAAATGGTGGTTTTATTATCTTTGTTTTGTATAATTCTATTTCCTAATTTTGTACCATTATAAATTATATAAATATGTTGCTTTTGTATAAGAAAATATTTTTTATTTTAAAAAGCACGGCTCTGAAGATGTGGAATGACGGAATCATTCCTCACTGGTGGGGATGCAAAATGGTGCAGCCGCTCTGGAAGAAGCTGGGCAGTTTCTTACACAAATAAGGCTCTTCCCAGAGGACCCAGCAATTGTGCTCCTTGGTATTTGCCCAAATGAGCTGAAAACCTGCACATGGATGTTTACAGCAGCTTTATTCATAATTGCCAAAACTCAGAAGCAGTGAAGATGCCCTTCAGTAGGTGAGTGGGTAAGCTGCTGTAAATTCAGACACTGGGATGTGACTCAGTGTTAAAGAGAAACGAGCTCTCAGCCATGAAAAGACATGGAGGAAAATTACTGTGTATTCCTAAGTGAGAGAAGCCGTTCTGAGAAGGGTGCACAGTGTATGACTCCAACTATACGACAATCTAGAAAAGGCAAAACTAGAGACTGTGGAAAGACCAGGGATTTCCAGGGATGGGAAAGAGGGAGGGATGAGCAGACGGACCACAGAGGATTTTTCAGGGCAGTGCAAGTATCCTGTGTGATGCTGTAACGGTGGAAACATGTCACTATACATTCACCCAAACCCGGAGCACACAGCGCCGAGAGTGAACCCTGACGCCAACTCCGGTCTCTGGGCGAACCTGATGTGTCAATGGTGGGGGATGCTGACAGTGTGGGGGGCGATGTGGAGGGTAGCAGGTAGAGAGGAATTCTCCGTACCTTACTCTCAAATTTGCTGTGAAGCTAAAATGGCTCTAAAAAACAAACCTATTAAATAAATAATTTTTTAAAACCTTCCTGATGCCAGAATGTACAACTCTCAGAAACTTCTCCACATGTGTTAAGCACAGCCCACATGACCTGCTGGTAGCCACGCCTCACACATGGAAGACATGGGCTTCTGTGTTCCGGCCCGTGCAGGGAGTGGGACAGGACAGCACAGAGGGTGAAGGAACGAACTGGAGGGGTCAGTGCTGTGGATGATCAGGATTCAACAGCACAGTTTATGGGGCAGAAAGACAGTGCCTAAAACCAGAAACACCTTGAACAATCTTTGGGGTTTGTCCCTGTTATTCTTGTTTGGTTCCCTTAAACACTACACTTTTCAAATTATTTTAAATTTAGTTCCATATACTGCACTTACTATTTCTTCTCCATAAAAATGGTTTTGACCTAATAACTCCCTGGAATAGAATAGAGCAAGGAAGAGATTCAAATAGATTGGAAGTTTAACACATGGTTAAGACACATATGGGAATTAAACGTACGGTAACAGCAAAACACAGAAGAATGTGGAAATATGACGGACGTGTATGAGGTTTGCATGTGCACTGAAAATCCTGGGAAGGAAACAGGAGACCAGCGCTGTCTCCAGGGAGTGCAGCCAGGCGCGCTGGTGGCGGGGGTGGACGATGCCCTACTTGCTATTTGAACTTTATGCCTCACAAGCTGGAGCCATCCAGAGAAACCGAATTAAATTTAAAACACAGGTGGCACCTGGGTACCGCCAGTGTCTGAGCAAATGGAAGGGTCTGTGCTCCAGATCTCATCTCCCCAGAACTGGGACCCGAGGCAGAGGTCAGGGACCCACAGGGCTGAGCCCGGCCAACCCACCTGGCTCTCCAACTGGACCAGGGACCACGCCGACCAGTTTGCCATACTTGTCTCCTCTAGACTTCAGATCGAAGTAGACATTGCCTGTTTATAAAGGCAATTATGAATCCATCACTTCTCAGTCTAAATATCAGCATATAGACAAGCTTAACATCTAACAAGTAATTAGAATGTAAATACAGAACATAGCATTTGGCCCCAATATACATATATAGTATTTATATTTTTATAGACAGGGTCTTGCTATGTTGCTCAGCCTGGAGTGCAGTGGTACAATCATAGCTCACTACAGCCTTGAACTCCTGGGCTCAGGCAGTCTTCCCACCTCAACCTTCCCAGTAGGTGGAACTACAGGCAAGACACCATGCCTGGCTTAATATATTTTTTAACCAGAATTAAAAACAATACTATATGATAAATGCATGATTTGGACACATCATGAGTACACAGATATGAAAGTGAAAACACAAATGTAGTTCTCTGTAAACTGCTGAGACAATTATTTAATTAGAAAAAAGAAAGTGTTATCACTGACCTTCATTTAGATCTTGGGCTTTGTGTTCCATGCCAGTTAACAAAGACACTCTTTCTTTATGTTACACACCAGCTGGCAAAGACACTCCTTCTTTACCCAGTCATCTTCTAAAACTACCTTTTTACTCAGATTGAAAGCATCATCTGGCTGGGCACGGTGGCTCACGCCTCCAATCCCAAAACTTTGGGAGTCTAAGGCAGGAGGATTGTTTGAGCTGACGAGTTCGACACCAGCCTGGGCAACATAATGAGACCCCATCTCTACCAAAAAGCAAAACAAAACAAAACAAAACAAAATCATCTGCATACTGAAGCATCTGTGAGGCTGAGCGCCAAGGTCCACTTTGCAGACTGAGGTCAGAAAGCTTCGCCAGAGCCTCCTGCAAGCCTGGGCTGCCCTTGCCACTTCCACCACAAAGCCTTGGAAAGCAGAGCTGGGGAGGAGGCGCTCAGAGTGGGAGCTTTGTCAGGAAGCCAGCGCCACCAACCCATGCTCCAAAGCTGCCAGGCTGCAGCCGCTGTGTGTTCCAGGCCATGTGTCTCCCTAGGAAGAAGGCAATGCTCACCTGGGCTGCGACTAGGGCCACTCTCAGTACCACAGATCTGCAGTCACCATCCAGCACCCTCGAACCACACAGCAGCATGTAGCTGTCCTCAGGGCCCAGGTGTGGGTGCAACTTTTAGCCTTCATACAGTCTGAGCCTTTACATTCTTCTTTACTAATGCAGCTACTAATTTGCATCAGTACTGTCCTTCTCACTGCAGACACTGGTCTTGGTAAGGTCAAGGAAACTTTGCAACTGGCAAACACAAGCTGCACCCAGGACCTGCCTCCAGTCCTCGGCGCACAGGAACAGGACAGGCCCCCCTGAGCACAGCGGTCACCGGTGGGAGGAAAGGGCAGGGTGGCTTGGGCAAACAAAGCCAGGAGACGTTTCAACAGAAAACGCTGCCCTGTCTCTGCAGCGTCCTCCCTGGTCATTCAGGGTTGGCCACTAAGCTGGCACTCGGTGCTGGGGATGAACCAGAGGACAGCAGGGAGACACCCAGGCCCTGGGAGCTGCTTTCTATAAAGTCAGAATACAAACAGTGCTTTAAGAGTGCTTCACTGGAGAGAATCCACTCCCTTAAACAGGGGAAACACTCCCCCTTCACTTTGGTTTATGTTATCAGTTTGCTGAACAAATTGTTTTTCAGCAAGAGTTCAAAGATCAAATTACAACCAAGCCCTTGTGGAATTGTCACAAAGTCCAAATTACTGGGGTTTGAGTGAATGTATTTTGAATTAATTATATTTATGCTAATATTAAATGTTTATAATAAAACATAATAATAAAACAACAAATAGCATTCATTCCTCAAGCCTGTGAAGACGAGAATCCCTAAAGACTCATGAACATTTATCAGTTTATTCCTAAAATGGAAGCACAGGCCCACATGTCTTATTTCAAGTTACACGGAAGCAAAAAACTAATTCCTGTGTTTTCTGATGCAAAATCTAATTCAACCACCTAAGTCCTTAAAAAAGTTTTTCTTGGGAGGCTGAGGCCGGAGAATTGCTTGAACCCGGGAGGCGGAGGTTGCAGTGAGCCAAGACTGTGCCACTGCACTGCAGCCTAGGTGATAGAGTAAGACTCCGTCTCAAAAAAAAAAAAAAAAAAAAAGTTTTTCTTAGAAACAAACTCTAAATATACCACATTAGAACAAGTAAAAAGCTACTTCCATACGCAGAGCATACTGAACGGGTCCTCGGGGCCTCAGGTGCTCATCTTATGCCCCCAGGCAGGACCCAGGAAGGACGGGAACGCCCAGGGCAGTACTTCATGTTTTCTGACTCACTGCAACAAACATGCAATACCCGCGTATCTTCAGCCGTGGGCTGGATAGTCTAAGGCGTCATTCAATAAAGCAAAAGGTTTTTATGGTCTGAGAATTTATGATCTAGACGGGGACAAAATACAAATACATTAAACAGCAAACTACGGCAGCGCAGAACTGGCTGCCAAATGGTACAGCAGAGATACCAAGGCTGAGAAAGTAAGTTCACTTTCAGCTGTGCTGGGGGAAGGAGAACTTCATGGAGAGACAAGACCGTGGTCAGGGTTTGCGGCCGGGATGGGTGGGATTTAGTTCAGATTTATGGAGATGCTTCATGATGGAAGCAGCAAAACAGCAGGACGCCAGCCTTGCCTGGGGGCCACCAGACAGATTAGCATCTGCCATCTGAGGAAAGCACCGGCAGTGAGCAACATGCCAATCTAAACACAGACCGCTGGGCAGGAAAACTGACCTGTCGGAGTCTCGAAAAGAGTCTACATGTGCTTACCCAGGAAAAATGAAAAAGAGAAAAATAGAAAAAGAGTCTATGAGGAGGGTTAAAAGTGAGGAGACTAAACCAACAAATGCACACGCAGCACATGCCCTTCATTAGATGACGGTGTGGGGAGGCGGGTGTCAAGCATAAAAGAAACCTGGGGACAAGTGAGTACATTTAATACGGAGAGGACACGTGAAGCTAGCCGCAAATTCTTCTCTGTCTTAGGTCTGACCATGACATTTGAACTCCTTTTATGCAGAGATGCATGTTGAAGTGTCAAGACTGATGCGTCAGAACATCTGCAACTCACGCTTTTTTTTTTTTTTCTTTTCTGTCTCCCAGGCTGGTGTGCAGTGGGACAATCACGGTTCACTGCAGCCTCAAACTTCCTGGGCTCAATCTATCCTCTCACCTCAGCCTCCTGAGTAGCTGAGTAGCTGAGACTACAGGAGCATGCCACCATGCTTAGCTAATTTTTATATTTTATTTTTGTAGAGAAGGGGTCTCTCCGTGTTGCCCAGGCTGGTCCTGAACTCCTGGACTCAAGTGATCCACCTGCCTTAGCCTCCCAAAGTGTTGGGATTACAGGTATCAGCCACCACGCCCAGCCCTGCAACTCACTTTCTTATTTTTATTTTTTGAGACAGAGTGTCGCAGTCACCCAGGTGGGAGTACAGTGATGTGATCTCAGCTCACTGCAAACTATGCCTCCTGGGTTCAAGCAATTCTCATGCCTCAGCCTCCGGAGTAGCTGGGACCACAGGCATGTGATACCAGGCCTGGCTGATTTTTTGTCTTCTTAGTAGAAACAAGGTTTTAACATGTTGCCCAGGCTGGTCTCAAATTCTTGGCCTCAAGTGATCCACCCGCCTCCATCTCCTAAAGTACTGGGATTACAGGCATCAGCCACCACGCCTGACCCTGCAACTCACTCTTTTTTTTTTTTTGTAGGGGGAGAGGGGACGGAGTCTTGCTCTGAAGCCAGGCTGGAGCACAGTGGCGTGATCTTGGCTCACTGCAACCTCTGACTCCCGCAACTTACTCTTAATGGCCTGTGAAAAAAATGATAGCCAAACAGAGGGGGATGACCTGGGCTGACTTTTAACAAGAAGGGAGCAGGTCTCTGGAGGTAATGTGTTTGTCCCCAACTTTTTGTTAGGAAAATATCTAAACAAAGATGAAATAACACCACACTGAACACCTGTACACCTACCACCTAGATTCCATGACTCTTACCAAGACTAGCTGTCCAGATATTCGCCTCTCCCTGTGACTGGAAAAGATTTTTAGAAAGAATTAATTCAACCATTTTGCAAAGAGACACAACATCGTAGAAAACCCCACAACAGCCCTGCTGTTGGAATCCTATCAAGACAGACAGTAAATTTCAGTATGTTCCTGCAACTCATAAATATGTCCAGTTTCTCCAAATCCTAGTAATGTTTTAGTTTTAAGAACATAAACTGGCCGGGCACAGTGGCTCACGCCTGTAATCCCAACACTTTGGGAGGCCAAGGTGGGTGGATCACAAGGTCAGGAGTTCAAGACCAGCTTGGCCAACATGGTGAAACCTCATCTCTACTAAAACTACAAAAAAAAAAAAAAAAAATGTAGCCGGGCATGGTGGCGCACACCTGTAGTCCAGCTACTCAGGAGGTTGAGACAGGAGAATCGCTGGAACCAGGGAGGCAGAGGTTGCAGTGAGCTGAGATCGCACCACTGTACTCCAGCCTGGGTGACAGAGTGAGACTGTCTCAGGAAAAAAAAAAAAAAAAAAAGAACATAAACCCTACCTTTTGCTGTTGAATAAGCGTGCCCACGAGCAATGATTCCTTCAATGAAAGAAATTATCTGAGGAATATTTTCGGTTACCCTCAAGTACACCGTGGGTGGGAGAACCTGCAAGAAAGTGGAGACATGACCGTGTTTCCGTTGTGCAGAAGCACAGGTCAGCCAGCACCAGCTGTCACTGCTCACCCCTGTCACCCTCATGATAGGAACAACCAGCCCCACACTTTACCTTCAGGGCTGCCATGTCCTGCTTGAAGTCTTCCTCATAAAGACTGGCGAGGGAAGCGGGGGAAATATTCATCTGCAGAAGGATTAGATGTGCACGTTAATGAGGCTGGGGCATTCGCAACAGAACCACCCAGACACAAGAATGCCCACCTGCACAACACGACAGCAAACGTACCCCAGCCACCTCCGGTGAATGGGGTGGCCGTGGCCCCACTGTGCCTCGGCCTCAGTTTGCCCACTCACCAAAGCGGGGGCACTCATTTTAGGTATTGAACTTATACTAGTAGCTTAGCTAGAAAAAAAGACTTATTGACCTTGCCTTCTGGTTAGAGAAGAAATAATGTCACAATTTCCATTACATAGTAAAAAACAAACCAGCTGGGTACAGTGGCTCACGCCTGTAATCCCAACACTTTGGGAGGCCAAGACAGGAGGACTGTTTGGGCCCATGAGGTTGAAGCTGCAAACGGCCATGATTTGCACCACTGCAATCCCACCCTTGGTGACAGAGCAAGACCCCATCTCCAAAACAAAAATAAAAATACAGTAAAACAGAAAACAAAACATACCAAGGATCCTCCACTTTTCTAAGACAAGGGCAAAATCATCTTAGTCTAGTCTGTATGATAAGAAACTGGGTTCCTATTTTATCCCTTAATCCTCAGGAGAAAAAACAATAGTCAAAAATATACTAAAGAGGCGGCTGGGCACCGTGGGTCACGCCTGCAATCCCAGCACTTTGGGAGACTGAGGCAGGCGGATAACACGAGGCCAGGAGTTCGAGACCAGCCTGGCCAACATGGTGAAACCCTGTCTCTGCTTAAAATATAAAAATTAGCCAGGCGTGGTGGTGCACACCTGTAATCCCAGCTACTCAGGTGGCTGAGGCAGGAGAATCTCTTGAACCTGGGAGACGGAGGTTGCAGTTAGCCAAGATGACACTCCAGCCTGGGTGACAGAGCAAGACTCTGTTCCAAAAAAAAAGAGAAAGATTAAAAAGGAACCTCTAAAGAAATATTTTGGAAGTAATTTAACACACTACAACTGGGATTTAATGGAGTATTCATTCCTCGGGCCCCACGGCTGGGTTTCTGGAGACAGACCACCAAATCAGTACAATCAATTCTGAATGTGGGTGCCTTGGGGGCACGCATCTGCAGCCCCTGCCACATTATCCAAGGAGGCTGGGACACAAGACTAGGTGTGCTCATGTTATTTCATGATTTCAATGAAAAACTCTACATGAACTGATGCACAAGACGCTGTGAAGCTCTGGAATGGAACTGGGCATCATCACTGCTGGTCCTGCTCAAGTGGCCCTTGGGCCTCCCAGGCCCAGCACCTGCCACCTGCTCGTCTCCCTGAGCCGCTCCATGCAGCCTCAGGAACCAAGTCTCCCCATTTCACAGGTGAAGGAATTACCACTCCAGATACTGAGAAACTTTCTCAAGCACAATGCCACACGTGGGGCCAGGTCCCAACCATGTCACCCTGAGGCCCAGGGCTCTGAGTGGCACAGTCAACCCAGAAACCCCTGCCAATGAATACTCACTGAAGAAAGCAAGCTGGTAAACTCTGCATTGCTACCCAGGTGCTAAGCTTTGGGGTCTTGGGCAAATCAATAATCAAACCTCTTAGCCTTCAATTTCTTTACAGCATGGAGATATTCTACCTAATAACCCCCTTAGGCTGCTAGAAGAACCACTGTGTGTATATATGGACAGGACAGCTTTGTAAAAGAAAACATTACATAAACACCACATTAAAGAGAGAAAATACACAGCACCCAGCACATAGTGGGTACTCCAAAACACTTCAGCCCCTGTCTTGAGGTACAGCTTTGTGGCAAAGCAGACCTTTACAACAATAAATGAGTTAATATACGTCTATCCAGGGGACAAAAGATCAAAGGAAAAAGCCCAAAAATACTGTGTCTTCTTGCCGCTTCAGCAGTCTCAAATTCCACACAATTTTGGGCCTAAAGATCAGTGGATTGGCCGGGCGCGGTGGCTCACGCCTGTAATCCCTGCACTTTGGGAGGCCGAGGTGGGCGGATCACGAGGTCAGGAGATCGAGATCATCCTGGCTAACATGGTGAAACCCCATCTCTACTGCAAATGCAATCAGCTGGGGGTGGTGACAGGCGCCTGTAATCCCAGCTAATCGGGAGGCTGAGGCAGGAGAATCGCTTGAACCCAGGAGGTGGAGGTTGCAGTGAGCCAAGACTGTGCCACTGCACTCTAGCCTGGGCGACAGAGCGAGACTCTGTCTCAAAAAAATAAAAAATAAAATAATAAAAATCAGCGGGTTGCTTCATTTATATTTTTCTGCAGAGGTAATTTACCGCCAGGAGAAGTCAAATGGCATAAAGGGGTGCCCAGACTTAGCTTCCCTCCCAGAAGGAAAATACTGTGACCAGTTTTCTCACAAGCACGAACGTGGTTATAGATACATTTGCGTCTTTTTCTTGGAATCCCCAAATGCAGCCCATTCCACACTCTGCTCTGCACTGCTGGCTTCTCTCCCTCGCAGCACACAGAAGCCCGGGAGGTCCGTCGTGCTGGACACGCTGAGCTGCCTCGCTCCTTCCAAGGTGGCCTCTACTCCCCCTTCCAGATGTGTCGCTACGTGCTTACCCAGTCCTGTCCCAATGCACATCCCATCCTCACCATGACAAACACGAGCGTGTACAGGTCACTTCGCAGCAGCCCAAGTGCACTTCTGAGCTACACTCCTAGGTGGGAGACAGAGGGCACAGGCTCATGGACCGGGCCACTCATGTAAGCTGCCTTCCAAGCTGTGCCAGCTACACCCGACCAGCAACACCTGGAGGTGTCTGTCTTCCTCTGCCCTCACTCGCAGGGTCAGCCAACTTTCAGATGGTGTCAGCGTGACAGCTGAGAAGTGCTTTGCTCTTTAAGCTTTTACCTCTTTTATTCTGAGTAAATCTGAACATCTCACATGTCTAGGAACCGTCTGCATTAAATGACCTGTAGTTATCCATGCCTGTGTTTCTATTCAGTGGTATAGGTCTTTTTCTTATTGGATGCTAGGAATTCTTTTTTTGTTTTTTTTTTTTTGAGACAGAGTTTTGTTCTTGTTGTCCATGCTGGAGTGCAATGGCACGATCTCAGCTCACTGCAACCTCTGCCTCCCAGGCTCAAGCGATTCTCCTGTCTCAGCCTCCCAAGTAGCTGGGACTACAGGTACACACCACCATGCCTGGCTAATTTATGTATTTTTAGTAGAGACGGGGTTTCGCCATGTTGGCCAGGCTGGTTTCAAACTCCTGACCTCAGGTGATCCACCTGCCTCAGCCTCCCAAAGTGCTGGAATTACAGGTGTGAGCCACCATGCCAGGCCGGAACTATTTTTATATTAAATAAATTAACTTTTTATCGCTGATATAATTTCCATTTTTCCACAGTTTTTTTCAACTTTATGGTTATTTCATGAAATGTAGAAACTGTCATTCTTATACTTAGCAATCTTTCATATTTCTGAATCTTTTCTCATAAATCGCTTCTGGATCTGGAAACAAACTTACAAAGCCCTCCCCAATATAAGGCTATCAAATTTGCCTTGGGGTCTCTTTTATATTTAAATCTCCGACCTGCCATGAATGTGGCTGTGAGGCCTCTATCCACCTCTGGCTTGTTTTTCTCCAGACGACCCCTAGCTGCCAACACGCTATGGAATAATCCACCTCCCGCCCCACTGATTTGAAATGCCATCTTTTATCATAAAACAAACTCCCATTAATTATTGAGGCTGGTTCTGGACTTCTTGGTGTTTTCCATCGTCTGTTTATGCATGCTCTGTACAGGAGTTTAATTTCTGCAGGCTTTTGGGCACCAGGGGTTACAGGGTGCAGGGAGGAATCACGAGGGGCACAGACACAGGGATGATGGATGCATCCACAGGGGCATCCCTAGGTCAACATTTGGCAAACTGCACTTTTCTGAATAATACATGCAATCTATTGTAGGTCAATCCTACCACATAAAGCTGTGCAGAAAATATATACATATATAAAATATATATTACATATATAACATATATAATACATAACATATACTATGTATTATATAATACATAAAATATATAATATATTGTATGTATATTATAATATAATGTATAATGTATAACATATTATATGATATATAATATATAATATATAGTATACAATATATAATAATAAAAATATATAATATGCCTTATATATTATATATAATATATAATATCCTACCGCATACAGCTGTGCAGAAAATATATATTATATATAATATGCAATATATGTAATACATTATAATGTATAATATATATGTGATGTATATTATGATGTAATATGATACATGTTATATATTATATATGACATATCCTAGTATATCATATATAATATACATATATGTGTATATACATATATATATGAAAACAAAAACCTTCTATAGCTTTTAAAATATTTTCATATTTGGTGGCTGGGTGCGGTGGCTCACGCCTCTAATCCCAGCACTTTGGGAGGCCGAGATGGGTGGATCATCTGAGGTCAGGAGCTCAAGACCAGCCTGACCAACATGCAGAAACCCCGTCTCTATTAAAAATACAAAAAATTAGCCGGCTGTGGTGGCATATGCCTGTAATCCCAGCTACTCGGGAGGCTGAGGCAGAGAATCACTTGAACCCAAGAGGCGGAGGTTGCAGTGAGCCAAGATCGTGCCATTGCACTCCAGCCTGGGCAACAAGAGCAAAACTCCGTCTCAAAAAAAATAAATAAATAAAATGAAATAAAAGTTTTCATATTTGGTAGGGCTAGTACCTCTCAATATTCTTCTTTTATAGACTTTTCCTATTCTTGCTTTATTTATTTATTTGCAAAGGACATGAACCCATCCTTTTTTATGGCTGCATAGTATTCCATGTGTCACATTTTCTTCATCCAGTCTATCATTGATGGGCATCTGGGTTGGTCCCAAGTCTTTACTATTGTGGACAGTGCTGCAATAAACATACATGTGTATGTGTTCTTATAGTAGAATGATTCATAATCCTTTGGGTATACCCAGTAATGGGATT